TTTTTTTTTTTTAATCGCGCACAGGGCGCAACTCCCTCAGCGCGCGCACCGCGCACAGCGGACAGCACTGCGTACTGCGCACAGTGCGCGCGCTGTCGTTCCAGCGCACAGCGCAGTGCGCACCGCACCGCACCGCACACTGGTGCGCCTCAACTATGTATTTGATACTAGCTGACCAATATGTGACAAACTGACAATATAACAAAAATAATAAAATAGTATATATCGTCACAAACAGAACTGCCCGGTAATATATATATATATATATATATATATTAATTAGATGAAAAATGTACAGTCTATTTTAGCATGCTGGGAATGCGGTGCATGTATAGTACAGCTTGACGAACTCTGTTGCCTGAGGGAAATGATCGCTGAGCTCGTAGGTGTCATTTTTATTTTTTGTTTGTTTCTTTTATGGAATTGCTGCTCTTATGATCACCAGCGACTGTGGTCCGTGAGGAGACTGGTCTGTCCTTGGATAGAATTGGCCGAGAGGTCCTTGGAACTGCCGCCAAGGTCGAGCTCACAAAGGATCATACCACCATTGTCGGCGATGGGTCTACGCAGGATGCCGTGAATGCTAGAGTCAAGCAGATCAAGAGCTTGATTGAGGTGAGCATATACTTCAGCATGGAGGAGGTGTGTGTGTGGGGGGGGGGGGGGGGGGCGGAAGAGAACATGCAGATGAAGGAAGAATTGAGTGGTTGGTATCTTGGCGATGATGAGTGAATAATTGATTGCTCCCCATCTATCTACCCTGCAGTCTGTGTGGACTGGAGATGGCGGAGATGCCCTATGATCTCCTGACTCTCCTCCCTCTTTCAAAGGGAGACATAGTTGTCATGATACTTTCTGTTATTCATTTTCTTTTGCGCTCTCTGCCATGTAGTCTTTTTTTTTGTTGTTGTTGTTCGTATTATAGCACCTTCTTTCCCCCACAAACGAACGCAATGTCTCACATCGTGACTGAATTTGGAGTGGGACAGGGTTTGTACAATGTAGTAACTTTGTACGCATTCCATGATGACGGGGCGTTATGTTCAGGGGATGAAGGTTAATGTGTTTCACACTCTATGACGCATGTATGCATTTACTACCCGTGTACGTACGTACGATGTAGTCTGTAGACTCTGTACTATGTACACTTTTCTGCAATTATGTTTCGGTTTGTCTCGCGTACTATATGTAGTCTGTGCTATGTAGTATGTACGCTTTTCTTCAATTACGTTTTCATTTTTTGTGTCAACTTTGAGCTGATCAGCAGTTGAAGCAAAAGATGGGCACAGTGTTGTGCTTCAAGGGCTGTGCTCTTAGCTTCTCGGCTATCATGACGTATAGGTTGGCAGCTGACCTATTGTTGAGTATTGGTGCCTGGCAGTCACATGTCGTGGATTTTGTTTTGACGAGCAGGGAACAGACGTGGACTATGAGAAAGAGAAGCTAAATGAGCGGGTTGCCAAACTCTCTGGTGGTGTTGCGATTGTGCAGGTGAGCATCAATGGATGGATTGATGGATGAATGGAGTTGATCGATGAATTGGATGAGAATTGGATGAGAATTGGATGAGAAATTGAGAATTGGATGAATTGGATGAGAATTGGATGAGAATTGGATGAGAATTGGATGAGAAATTGAGAATTGGATGAGAATTGGATGAGAATTGGATGAGAATTGGATGAGAATTGGATGAATTGGATGAGAATTGGATGAGAATTGGATGAGAATTGGATGAGAAATTGAGAATTGGATGAGAATTGGATGAATTGGATGAGAATTGGATGAATTGGGTTGATGGATGGATGGATGAATTAGGTTGATGGATGGATGGATGAATTGGGTTGATGGATGGATGGATGAATTGGGTTGATGGATGGATGGATGAGTTGGATGAGTTGGATGGATGAATTGGATGGGCGGATGGATGGATGAATTGGATGAATTGGACGGATGGATGGATGGATGGAAGTATAAAGATGGATGGAAGTATAAAGATGGATGGATGAATGAAGTCCACTTCAGACTATCATTGTTCTCGATTTACACTGACTACACCAACACACGGGTAAGATGGATAAGTGATGCCCCAACTCTTTGTTTGAGCGTGTTCTGGTGGTGCATGCATCACATGCTGACAGTGGTGATTATTTTTATTAATATGATAATAATATGTTAACTTATAATGATAACAATGTGCTCCATCGTCGCAGATTGGTGCCCAGACAGAGACAGAGTTGAAGGAAAAAAAGCTTCGTGTTGAAGATGCACTGAATGCAACAAAGGTAAAATCACCATCTGTTTGGAAGGCAATGTGCTGATCCCTCTATGCGTTGTTGTGCTTTTCGGTCTTTTGTGGCGTTTTTGAAAATCAATGCACTCCTATATTGTTTGAGGCTTTGAACTTGGTTTTGTCTTCCCATTTCATTCTCCTTGTCTTTTTTTTTCTTTTCTTTTCTATTCAAATTTCAAAAGTAACAAATCATGGAGATTCGCTTTGTGGCATTGAGTACTAGGGTACGTGTGTATTGACTGTTCTGCTGCAGCTTCGGGTTTGGTGTGGAATCATCAGCGTCATCCGTTTTCCTTGTGTCCAGGCAGACTATACTGTTGACTTGTGCAGGCAGACTATGCTGTTGACTTGTGCAGGGAGGCTATACTGGCTATACTACTGACTTGAGCAGGGACTTTTGTACAGGCAGGCTATACTATCGACTTGTGCGGGCAAGCTGAACCGTTGACTTGTGCGGGCAAGCTATACTGTTGACTTGTGCAGGAAGGCTATATTGCTGACTTGTGCAGGCAGGCTATAGTGTTGACTCGTGAATGCAGGCCATACTATTGACTTGTCCCATGTTGACTTATGCTGTTGACTTATGTTGTTGACTTATGCTGTTGACTTTTGATGTTGACTTGTGCGGGCAAGCTATAGTGGTGACTTGTGCAGGCAAGCTATAGTGTTGACTTGTGCAGGCAGGCTATACTGTTGAATTTGTGCAGGCAAGCTGTACTGTTGATTCATGCAGGCAGGCTATACTGTTGACCCATGCAGGCAGGCTATACTGTTAACTTTTTGCAGACTACACTGTTGATATGTGCAGGCTATACTGTTGACTTTTGCAGCCTATGCTGCTGCAGGCTGAACTGTTGACTTGTGCAGGCTGATCTGTTGACTTGTGCAGGCTAGACAGGTGTACTGTTGACTTGTGCAGGCTATACTGTTGACTTGTAGAGACTATATTTCTCCCATTTCTACAGGTGTAACGGTGTTTCATGCTGAAACGAGATTTAATCTGGTATTGTGTGGCCTCGATATGCAGGCTGCTGTTGAGGAGGGGATTGTTGTCGGTGGAGGGTGTACGCTTCTGAGACTGTCTGCCAAGGTGGATGCCATTGAGAGCACGTTGGACAACCAAGAGCAAAAGGTGGGAAGCACCTTCGTCGTTGACTTGCTGTTTGATCTTTTTTTTTTTTTTCTCCTGCATACCTGGTGCATTTCCATTCTAACTCTTCACACTACCATCACGACAATTCTGCTATAGGCTCTCCCCAATAGAACGTTGTGTGGTCATTATAGCTGTGTATTTGGGGCAACTTTCAGTGCAGATACAGTGATAATGACTGAATCCTCGTCATGATCAGACCTGCATCATGGTCACCCTGGCGGGACAGAAAGAAAGAAAAAATATCACTGTGGTCCATGCTTTGTAGGGGTTGCTCTATAATAGTCCCAAAAGCATGGTGTTTCTTTTTCAATTGAAAGCCAAGAAGGAAACTCTCGATACTTCTAGCAGCCATGATGTGGGCATTGTGTGTGTGTGTGTGTGTGTGTGTGTGTGTGTGTGTGTGTGTGTTGTCATATTCGCTATATACAACTCCAAAAGAAAAAGCATGACTGTGCCAGACTGTTTCGTTGGACTTTCACCGAATCATCAGGAGGTTGACACACGTGTGTGTGTGTGTGTGTGTGTGTGTGTGTGTGTGTGTTTGTCAACATCCCCAAACTGTCTCTCTCATTCCCTCCACGTACCATCACAAGCCATCCATAAACAAAAAAACTTTAAAAAAGTCAAGATGAGCAATATAATAGAAGGTGCAAGGCTCCCCACGTTTGTAGGGGTGTGTGTGGGGGGGTGTGAGACACTGTGAGTGCGTCACCATGTGTGTGTGTGTTGACATATTCGCTATACACGCAAAAAAAGCATGACTCTGTGTGTGTGCGTGTGTGTGTGTGTGTGTGTGTGTGTGTGTGTGTGTATCAGTAGGACTAATGTTTAAAGTAACAGCTGAAAGAAAGAGACTCCCATAAGGAAGTGGGTATCATTATAGTCAGTGAATGTCACCATACTCACACTAGAACTGCCCTCAATGCATCTGCTGGTGAATGTCATGGGAGTTGGTCCAAAAGTTCTAGTGCTAGTATGCTCAAGTTGTTGAGTTATCTGGGTGCTTCTTTGGTTGGGGGGCGGGGCGGCGGGAGAGGGGGAGATCTGGAAACACCATCCCTAAAATTTCATTGTACCGTGCCCGAGTTGCAGCGCCTCTAGGCCAAATTTGTGTTTGATCAGACGAACTGGGTGGTGTGAGCTGTTTGATGCTGGCACCGGGACTCAGGCCCAGTGCTGTGGAATGTCTCAAGACCTGGCTCTATCTTTTGTGAGTTATTAGGAGCCGCAGTTCGCAATCGTATAGATTCTTTCATGGAGTCTCATAAAAGATTTGAGTGGTCCCCCACAGCTCCTCCCACGCAGGGGTGACACCCTCCTCCTCTCTTTCTCCTTCATTCTCACTGGATGGCTTTTTCACAAGGCAATCGTGTAAAAACTTTGAACAGATTTTCCTGACTGCTGCGGACTTTGTCAAAACTGTGTATTTGGAATTGTGCAGATTGGAGCAGGCATTGTGAGGAGAGCGTTGACGTACCCCTTGAAACTGATTGCGAAGAACGCAGGAGTGAATGGTGGTGTCGTAGTTCAGAAGGTACGTGCGTGTGTGTTTGTGTGTGTTGTCATACTTGCTATACACAAGTTTACAAAAAAAGCATGACTGTGCCAGACTGTTTTGTTAGACTTCCACCGACTTATCCGAGTGTGTGTGTGTGTGTGTGTGTGTGTGTGTGTGTGTGTGTGTGTGTGTGTATGTGTGTGTGTGTGTGTGTGTGTGTCATGTTCACTAGGACAACTCCACAAGAAAAAACATGAGTGTGACAGACTGTTTCATTGGAATTTCAGCATTTGTGTGTGTGCGTGTGTGCACGCACATACTTGTGTGGCTTTGCAGTGTATACTTGTGTTTGGTACAGAGAGTGTGTGACATTTCACAGGGGGATCCCTCTGCAGTGATTTCTGTTCTCTTGTACTTGTGTTCCGATGGTGGGCAGTCGAAAGAGCTTTTCATGCTCTGCATGGATGCTCTTTTCTTTTTCGTTTGATGCTCTTTTTCCTTTGTGCCGCTGCCGCAGCTTGGATCTCGGTGCAAAGTGGGGTCAAAATTAACATCCATGGGGTTCATAGGGTCCCCAATGGGCTATTTTTCAAAGGGCTTCATCTCAAGGACAATGCAGACCCCTCTTCTCTAGAGCCACTTTTACTGTTTTCGCAGCACCAATCTGATCCATCTGTAGGTGCGTAAGAAGGTTTCAGACCTGAAGCCCTTTGAAAATAAGCCCATATGCCTCTGGAGAAATGCCGAACTTGGGTGTTTCTTTCTGCCTCTTCTGCCTCTTATGCTTTCTTGTATCTTGCCCATGAACTTGCTTGCCGGTAATGAGTAACTGTACTAACTGGATTATTAAAAAAGACCAAAAAAAAAGGCAACTGGTTTGCTGCCCCTTAGGATAGATCATGTGTGTGTGTGTGTGTGTGTGTGTGTATTTGTAAAACATGAAAAAAACTTCAAAAAAGAAGAAAAAAGAAAATAGCCCATATGTACATGCTATGCAATCGAGACGAAAGAATTCCTATCATCGTGAAGATCCATGGGGTCCATAGTGTCCCCAAGGGGTCCATGGGATTCATGGGGTACATGGGGTGTCCATGGGATCCAGGGTTTCCCATGGGGTCAAGGGGTCCCCTTTCTGGAATGTGTCAGCGGTAAAGTAAGCCCTGCAGAAGGGCAGTGTTCGAGACGATGAGAAAGTGTGTTGGAGGATGATGCTCAGGACAGGAGAGTGTCTTTCCCCCGGAGCAGACCTCGTCTAGCAAAGGTCTGCTCGCTTTTAACACAGACGGATGTCGAGCGGAAAAAGTTGGCTTCGATCAGAGCTACCGGTGGTGGTGATCTCGATTATCTTTGACTGGGGGTGACCCCCCTGTAGACTGTTTGTGATGAAAGGGTTTGTGGTGAAGGGGTGAGATTCTTGCTTTTGGTGTTGTTATTGCAATTGTGAGGACATCTAGCCCTCTCTGAGGAGCATAGTTACACACAGCTGGTATTCTCTGGGGAGGAAAAAAAAAACGTAATGTCGTCCGAACAAACACTCAATATGAAAAAAAAAAAAAAAAAAAAAAAAAAAGTACTAGATATGGAACTGATCTCGTATTTGTATGTGCTTCATCCCACTGTAGGTTAAGCAAAATGATAGTGTCAATTTTGGCTTCAATGCAGCGACTGGAGTTTATGAAGATTTAATGGCAGCTGGAATCATTGACCCGACAAAGGTAGGCCGGTCCCATGGAATATCCCTTTCTTCCTAGAGCAGCAAGAAAGAGAGAAAATTTGCTGCAAAATCCTGCTAGTGGAGGTATTCCTCCCAATGAAGACATAGACCTCCCTGCACAAGCGGTTAACAGGGACTCCCACTTTTCAGCCCTGGTTACCCCCCCCAGCACTGAAAAGTGCAGTTGGTGTCCACTGTATGGATTGGAGACAAGTCTGGCTTAAAAGGTGTGGGACGTTTGTTATAATGACCCTGAAAAAAAACTCCTGAAAATTTAGGGCTCTGTTAACCGCTTCTCTCCTCTCCTCCCTCCTTTACTCTCTCCCTCCCTCCCTCCCTCCCTCCC